TGGGACGAGGGGGCGAGGGGCCACAGGTGCCCCCCAGGTTCCGGTGGGGGTGTGGGGACTGGGAACCATTAGAACCTCACGTAAGGAACAGATGGACTGTTTCCCCAAGACCTCACGTGACCGTGATGAGCTAAGACCTTTTTGCTGTGGACTGCCGTCCCTCCATTTCCATTCATTGATTCGTTGGTTCACTTAGCAAATATTCTTGTGTATCCATGATGTGCCACACACAGTTCTAAACACTGAGGGCAGAAATGTGCCGCCTCTGCTCCTCATGGAGGAAACAGGTATGTCACCATTCAGGTGGCAGAAGATTAAAGTGCTGGGGTTGCCTCTGAAGTCCCCAGGGGAAGGGAGCCTTCGAGATGCTGCAAAGTTTCCCAGGCAGAGGGAAAGCACGCTTGCCGGGACCAGCCAATTTCAGATCAGGGAGGATTCTGGTGTGGCCGCGGGAGGCAGCAGGCTGATGGCAGGAGAGGATGATGGCTCCAGACCATGAAGAGCCTCGCCTGCCACATTGTGGGGGACGTGCAGAGGGGATTTTATTCTGGGGACGACAGGAAGCTAGAAGTTTGAAATCAGGGGCGGGGAGTGACCAGATCTTATTAGCAGAGGCACAGAGAATCAAGTCTGGGGTCTCAGGATGTGGCCAGGCCTGGAGCCGCACATGGAGGAGCCACTGATGGTGGGACAGCTCAAGTCACGAGGAAGGATTCAGAACGAGATGAGAAAAAGCAACACGGATAGAAACCAGGACACTGGGTTTAGGAGCAGGCAGAGGAGGAAGAGGCGGTGAGGGAGACCGAAGGCATTGAAGGGAATTTGCAGGAGAAGAAAGAGAATGAAATCACAGAATCTGGAAGAAGATGAGATTTGACTGGATAAAAATCAATATAGAGGTCGAGTCAGAGTGATAATACAAACAAGTGAAATCTGATCATCAGATGTGAACGTGTCAGATTCCTTGATAGGACTGAGGTCAGGGGGCAAATGCGAAGGATTCTAAAGTGAACTGGGTGGGGAGGGTACAGCTCAAGTGGTAGAGCACGTGCCTAGCATGCACGAGGTCGCAGGTTCAATCCCCAGTGCCTCCTCTAAAAATAAATAAACCTAATTACCTCCCCACCCCAGCCCCCTGCCAAAGTAAAATACTTAAATAATACAATAATAAATAATTAAACATTTAAAAAAGAGTAGTTTAAAAAATAAAAAGAATAATAAAAAAAA